GAGAGAGAGAGAGATCAGGCTTTTCTGTCTGATTTTCCGGATGCTGCATTGAGGAGAGGCTCCTTCCTTTTATAGGCAGAGCAAAGCTGGGCTTCATTGTTGCATGCTGACTCAAAAGGTATGCCCGTGGTTGATATAGATTGTTGTCGGCCATTGACTCGGTATTGCGAAATGTAGAAGGACAGGTGGCTTGTCGTGTGGTGCAGAGAATCTTTAAAGAGGACAGGTGGATGTCGGTGGATTGTCGTCTTGCGTCGGTGGTGCATAAAGGTGGACAGCTGGATGTCGGTGGGTTGTCTTCTTGCGTCGGTGGAGCATAAAGGTGGACAACTGGCGAATCTTCAACAGTAGGTGGACAGATGGCGAATCTTCAACAGTTGTTGCTTAGGTAATAAGACAATAATTTTTTTCGGTAGTAAATCATAATTGGACAAGTGGCCTGATGATATTTGCTTATCGGGTCAATTACTTATCGGGTCATAGAGCTCATCGGGTCATGGTATTTGGGAAAATTCTTCATTGTCTTCCTCTTCATTCTGAGATGAAGTTGTTTCACTTTCTTCTTCGAGTATCTGTAACAGCTGCTTTTTGAGTTCTTCTTTAGTAGCTTGAGGATTTTGCTTTTTCATTTTGTTGACATATTATGCAAAGCTATTTGGATGCTCATTTGGTATTTGGTTTGGAATTTTCTTCATTTTGATTTTCTCTTGGTCAAGGGACTTAAGAATCAAACACGTCCCACCATTTTATGAATATTTTCTTTCCAAGCCTGGGAATGTATTCCCAATCATTTGTTGTATTTTCTGATATTGCATATTCCCATTTTACAGTCCAAGGAATTTGATATAGGGACATAAAATATAAGTGATGGTCAATATTAGGATCTTTATTATTATATTCGACAAACTGTTGCTGAGAATGCTGCACCTTGAGAGGGAAAATCTGTGAATCAGATCCCCAAATGATGAACCAATCTCGGAACCAATTAGGAAATGCCTCAAGGACTGGCATTTTGAATTGAATAAACCAAGTGTATGAATTATAATTATTTTGGATTGCAAATATTTTATGCCAGGCCTCTTTATATTCTGAATATTTAAAACATTCGTTAGAAAATTCAAGGGCCTATAATTTTATGCTTTTGGTAGGGTCTAAGCCCAATTCTTTGTATGATATTAGTTTTCGAATTTGGAGCTTTGAGTAAGCTACTAATTAGTATTTCTCTGGTAAAAGTGTACCAGAGACATTGAGCCTGTCTCCAGCAGAATGGCTTCAAACCATTCTCTTGTTTTATTTCCATTCGAAGGATTCATATTGTTGAGTAGATAATAATTAGCAACAAGTTTGGGATAAAGAAATGCATGTTCATCTTCTATGATAGTATCTATCACAAAAGTAGTTTCTATGAACTGTGATTTTTCTGAGGAAAGAATTTTATTTGGGTCAGGAGTCAGGTCAGGAATCATAGAATATGGGCTAGGAATCATAGAATATGGGCTAGGATGTTCAGGATACTTTATTATAGGCCTATTTGGGTTAGGTGAAGGAGGGTAACACATAAGAGGTGAGCCAGGAGATTCGAATAGAACAATTTTCATCTTTCCTTTTCCTTTATTCTGATTATTCATATTTAATATATTGTCTATTTGGGATTGCCCTTGATTTTCTGGGCTAGCTGGGTCCCTGTCCCTTATATTGTCTATTTGGGATTGCCCCTGATTTTCTGGGCTAGCTGGGTCCCTGTCCCTATATATAAGGCTGCAAATTTAAACTTAGAATTAAGGTGCACCTAAAAGATCCATTGAGAAAAGCTATTTTAACGTAGGAAGATAAAAGATTTTAGGAGCACCTCCAAATTTGGTATATAATGTTATTTTAATTAGAAATTTATCAAGATATCTATAAGAGATGAACTATTTAACAATTTACCTATTTGGAACTATTCAAGACCATTTATTTTTTTATAGATATTTTAAAATTAAATTAAAATATACGAGTAAAGTATTAAATTATTAATCAAGTATAAATAATTTGATAAATTTTCCTTTTTAATTTTTATGTTGTACATTAAGGACCGACAAATTTGATGACAATAAAAGATTGCTTTTTGGTTCTCTATTTGTTGGGTTTTTATGTACATAGTTGAACCTTTTGGACTATATCTACAATTCCATTGTTTTAAAAACTTTGAGAAGAGACCATGACTGCGAAGTCTATGGATTTATGGGATTGCTTGGGCATATGTTTGGTTCGTGTGGTGCGAAAATATTCCTACAATTAACCACTTGAGAGAATTCTTTCACATGAAAATATTTTTAAAGAAATATTTTCATGCAAAACAAACACGCCATAAAGGTAACTATGGCTCTATTTATTTAATGTAAATACTAAGACATTTAGTGTAAATACTAAGACATCCAAACAAGTCTTTCACTTATCACTATGATATCTAAGCCCAAAAAAATGCGCCATGAAAAGTAAAAAAAAAAAGTTTATACAAGTGCGAGGCTCAAAACAATCAAATTAGGGCGCACCTCAAAATGTATTTTAGAAGAGGTTGTTTTGATGCCCAAATATCCTCAAACTGATCATATTGACCTCAAGATACATGGACATGAAAAAAAAAAATGGATTTCAAGTTTTAGAAATAGTGCATCTTGTAATGCATTTTTGGATCGTCAATTTTCAAGATTTCATAAATGTGCTCGATCTACACTATTTTTGAAGCTTTAAACTTTATAATTAGAGATGAAACTATATTTTAAAGTTATCACAAAGATTTCTAGTATTGAAACCACATTTCTCGACACTATTTGAAGGTGCCCTTTTACTTTGATTATTTAGAGCCTTGGCCATATACAAACGACACCCAAAGTTAAAACTCAATAGATTGTTTCAGATGTCTAGTAATACTTTTTTTTGACAAATGTTATCAAATTTTATTACCAGCTAAACCATGATTACAACTCTCAGCACTCACATCACTCAGTAGTTACATCATTCAAAATCGAAATAGAATCTATCGACACCCCTCTCTTAGCCAATCCATCAATAATACCATTATATTCTCTGAACACATGCTAGAAGGATAAAGATAATACCCCTTCTAAGTCCAAAACTTGGCCCCAAATTGATTGCAACATCCAAGGAACATGAAGTTGCTTGTTGCACCACTTTATCATATTTAAATAATGACCTTCCACAACAATGCAATGGCCCAAATTCAAGGCTTTAATAAACAACAATCCTTTAAGCAACGCTGTGAATTCTGCCATGTTCGCCATTGCCCACTCAATAGTTCCAGCATAAGAGAGAATAATTGACCCAGTCCAATCTTGCACTACACCTCCAACCCTTGCATTCTCAGGATTACCCATAGAACTACCATCAAAATTTAGTTTCAAACAACCTAGTACAGGGGGTATCCATCTACCGTTCATTCTTGGCCTTGTCCTATTAGAAAAGCAAGATTGGCCAAATTTAAACGCACATCGATCTCAGTAATGCCTCTTCCATCTTTGGTGATAGATACCCGACTCCATATAGTATGAAGTATACGCTGTAGAAGATCATCATCAGAAAGCCCTTGACATTTTTAAGTACGTCTATTCCTCTCTTTCCAAATTTCCCAACACATAATACCTCTTACAATTTGCCAAATCATAGACCCCGCTTTAAGTAGAGCCGAAAACATCAATTGTGAGATGATACCCAAACCACTTTGAGGTAGAGTCATCATAAAGCTAATCAAACCAAAGAAATAGTTTCAAATACCTATGGCAAGGCGACAACGAAGAAATAGATATGAAAACGACTCCCCGTCCTCTTTACACATTAAGCATACATTGGGTAAGATCTTTCTTCATTTAATGAGATTATCAAGGGTAAGAACTTTATTTTGCCCAGCCAACCACATAAAACACTAAACTTTGTGAGAAATAGACCACTTACATATTTGGGAAGACCATCTGTAGCGATCATGAAACAAGAGCGTATATTGTTTTTACCGAAAAAAGACCATCCTTACTGTGCTCCCAAACCAACTCATCACCAATATAATTGGATATACACACTTCCTATAAATGTGCTAACAAGCCCGTGATATGTGCCACCATATTATCATTTACATGGTTATAAGGAAACTGAATATCCCATACCACCTGATAAGTATCACTTATCAAAGCATTAGGATAAGAAGTCTTAGCGAATAATTCAGGGAAAGCGATCTTCAAAAGACTATCCCCAAGCCACTTATGATGCCAAAATGGAATTTGGGCTCCATTCCCCATACACCATCGAATGTCTCTATGGAGATAGGCTTTGAACAAAAATATATCCTTCCAAAAAACAGACATCAATTTACTTCTTCTACTATCTCCAATCCATATACCATAGTTATCCACACCATATTTTGCAGTTAAGACCTTGCAACAAAGCACAGACATCAATTTACTTCTTCTACTATCTCCAATCCATATACCATAGTTATCCACACCATATTTTGCAGTTAAGACCTTGCAACAAAGCTGGTCCTTGAAACATAAACTACGCCACCACCATTTTATCAATAAGACCTCATTCATTAAGGAAGAATTTCGAAAAGCTTGTCTACAACATAATAGAGAAAAACAAGCTAAGTACCAGCATAAGAAAGGTGGAGAATTGTGGAATTATTGTGATAATGTACTATGTAGTCCTAGAATAAATTATAAAAATGGTAAGAAAGTTTTTTAAGAAAACTACCACTTATAGAAGAAGAAAAGTTTTTCCCAAAAAGAAAAAGATACCATAGAAAACAATGAAATGAGCCTCCGTGTCCATAGGAAAACCTAAATCTCAATGTAGATTTCAGTTGTTTAATGAATTAGGACATATTGCCACATAATGTTTAAAATTTTTTTTTTTTATAAAAGTTGAAGTAGATGAAGGAGAAAACTAAGAGACAATATTTGAAAAAGAGACATTAGATGAAGAAAGTATAAACTCAGAATTATCAAATACAAATGAACCTGAAGAAGAGGAAGAAATGTCAATGATGTTACAAGTAAAAAATTAGAAATGGGAAGACAGAAGAAACTGATTATAGCCTAATCAGACAAGCTAATAGGATAAAAGAACATTCTAGATAGAAAAGAATAAAGAAATATATAGTGACAAACCTTTCTCGTATGGAAAAAGTTATCAAGAAATAATAAACTTCTATAAGCCTTTTATTTGAAATATGAGATAAAAAAAAAAAATGAAGAAATAAAAACATTCGAAGAAAATGCTGAAAAAATAACCATTAGCCCAAATAGTACTTATATAAAAATAGAATTCAAATTTCCTGAATATAAAAAATATCATTAGCATGCCTATATTGATACTGGAGTAGGAATGTGCTTGGCTAAGAAAAATGCAATACCTAAGGATATTGGATAACTAGCAGAACAGTAATGCAAGCTCAGATCGCTGATGGAACTATTATAAGATAAAATAAAATTGCAAAAAATGTTCAATTTAATAGGAGGAGTAAAATTCATTATAGAAAGAATATGGCAATCAGAAGGGCATGATTGTGATATTCTATTAGATAATGACTTCTTAAAAGCTACTAGTCACTTTATACAACAAAAGGATTCTATAGCGTTACCCACTATTTCAGGAAATATAGTCATCAACCCCATCCTCATTGAAGCAATTATAGATGGTTTTACACCTTCCTTATACACGGAAAATTGCAGCGCAGCGTATTGAGAATAATACGAAAACTCCAAAACCTGAAGGTCCTTAGAAAACATGAAGAAAAAGAACTAATATATTGGATAGACGAAATAAGTAATTATTATCATAATATTAAAACAACCAAACAAAAAATACCAGAACTATAAGAAACAAGAAATAGTCAAAGAAAATTTTAGTGAAAAGTAAAACATGAACTAAAAATGTTAGACGAAACAAAAATAATTAGAGCAAAACCTATGCCATACACCCCGCAAGATAGAAACGAATTTGAAATACAATTAAAAGAATCACTAGATGACAATTAATAAGACCTAGTAGTAGTCCACATAGTTTACCAGCCTACCTAGTTAGTTATCATGCAAAAATTAAAAGAGGAAAAGCTAGAATGGTAATTAATTATAAAATATTAAAAGATAATACCAAATATGATACATATTTTATTCTTAATAAAAAACTATTTAGTAAATTTGATTATAAATCAGGATATTGGCAAATAAAAATGGAAGAAGCCAGTATTCCTTATAGTGCCTTTAGTGCTCCCCTAAGGTCAGTACGAGTGGATGGTTATGCCCTTTAGAATAAAAAAACGCACTAAAAATATTCCAAAGAACATGGATGAGAATTTTAAGAAACATAGGAAATACTGTCTAGTATAAGCAGATGACAACTTAGTATTTAGTAAAACAAAAGAAGAGCATAGGTTCCATCTACAAGCATTAGGTAGAGAATTAAAAGACCATCGAATAGTGTTAGGTGAAAAGAAAATGGAGTTAGAAAAGCAAGAAATAGACTTCTTAGGAATACAAATAGATAGGGGAAGTATAAAATTACAGCCTCATATACTAGAAAGAATAGATCAATTTCCAGATAAGTTAGAACATTAAAAACAATTACAAAGATTATTATGATGCTTAAATTATGCTGAATCTTTTATACCCGAACTAGCTGAGCTAAGAAATTCATTACAGAAAAAATTAAAAAAAGACTACCAAATGGGAATTTAGTGGAGAAGATGTAAAACAAGTAAAATTAATAAATGCAAAAATGAAAAATATAGAAAAATTAAAACTCCCTCAGGAAGAAGACTTTTTGATATTGGAAACTGACGCTTCAGACCAATATTGGAGTGCCATAGTAAAATGTAGACCAGAATAAAGTACTAGAGAAGAGTTATGTAAATATACATAAGGAACTTAAAAAAATGCAGAACAAAATTACCATATTAATGACAACAAATATTTAACTGTTAAACATGGTATAAAAACGTTTGAACTATTCTTAGCACCTAAAGAATTCTTGGTAAGAACAGATAATAAGAATTTTTCTTCCTTTCTTAAAAATAAGTTAGACAAATGTTTGGTTAGAGGACGATTATTGAAATGGCAGACATGGTTTAATCAATTTTCCTCTACAGTTGAACATATTTGAGGAGAAAATAATTACCTACCAGATGCATTAACCAGAGAGTTATGTTTTATGTTGAAGAATAGCTCCATGGATTCACATGAGTTGCCAAGCAAACCGAAGATAGAGTACCTGAAAAATTTGGCTAAGGAATCTCTTAAGTCAAAATATTATGAGCTATTAATAAATTTAATAAACCAAATTCAATAACGTTCTCATAAGGACCTTTGTCAACACAAAAAATTATTGAAGAACTAGATACTTGGAAAAGTAAGAAGATTTGTAGAGGAACTTGCTGAGGCCATTCTCTCATATGAATTCCAATAAAGTTATGATAATATTTTACTAACAAGAATTTTTATTGTCCAAGCTTTAGAACATCTTGCAGATTTGTTAGGGTGGCCGCCAACAGAAGTAAGTGCGAGAAGTTTGGATAAAAGGAAGAAAAATAAGTGATAGAAACTGCAAGTCAACGCAAGAAAAAAAGAAAGAAAAAGGAGCAAGTTCTCATTATGCTATCGAGCTACCAACCGATATTTATGAATAAATAAGTAAAAAAACACAATAAGAATTCCTTGCATAGATCCAGAAACATTTTCAAAATGAAATGTATTATCAAGGAAAAATAATTATTTAGAGAGATAGGCCTCCATTCCATTACACATCATCAGGGAGAAAAAGAAGAATTATTAAAAACGATGGGTTTAACTCTTAGTTTATATTGAATATGGCAAGCAGAAAATCCTAATGTTTTGTCGAGTTCCCTTAAAAGATTATCGAAGCCACTCTTTGTGACCTGCGGTAATGCATTACCAGAAATTTATCAGGAAACGTTATATGCAGCTCACCACGTAGTCATCATTAATGAGGGAGGAGAGTGCTTCCATTTCCAAACTCAAGAGGCCTATTCTATAATGAGAAGAGTATATAGAACGCCAGGGCAGAAGGATTTTTCAATATCTATAAAATAATAAAAAAAAAACAATTACTGCACCTAAAAAATGGGTTAATTTAATCTCAAAAGAATGGTATGATATACTTGAAAGTTCAGTTGTATATCGTAATACAATTGAAATGATTCAAGTCAAAGAAAGTCCCGAGACCAAAAGGTTTCTCAATCAAGAGATGAAAGGAAGAACAATTATTGGAGGAATAGATGATAATGGAGAAGATTTGTATAAAAATTTAGATGACGTAGGATTGTCTAATCTGAACAATATGATCGAAAATTAAAAGCAATGTCGGTGGATGCTATATGAAAAAGCGATGTAAGTGATGGTGTAAGAAAAGCAATAAAAAGAATATGGAATTGGATATAAGTAACAATGCACCAGGAGCTAAATTTACTCTATTCTCATGATCTTTTGGCAGTTCTAATGGCTCTATTCATTCAGTTGGATGTTAAAAATAAAAAGGAAAAGGAAAATAGTTTCTTGCAAGGAGATCTTCAAGAAGAAGTAATATCTATCTTACTTCAGTGGAAAACTGCTTACAAATCCAGGATCATTTCAAAGAGTTTTGCAACTGTTGATTTAATCAACCACTTCTACACTGGGACATTGCATTTGGTGACAATAGGATAGAAGGTAATAGGGGAAGGCCAATCTAGTTGCAATTGAGAAGTTTTGGGTAATAAGTTTTTGTTAGAAACATACGTTTCAATGTTCCTTTTTCATATATTAAGAGCGAACATTTTATAAAAGGATAGCCAACTTTACCCGTAACGAGATTAATATTACAAGCATAAACCCAGAAGACAGTATGATTGATTGGCATATACAGCTCTCTTTGGCTATAAATGGCTCCCTCCAGAGTAGGGGTCTCACTTTCTCTACGTTCATGTGACCACACATCCCTGATGCTTAAAAGACAGTAACCATCAAATGGAGTAGACATAGACAGAGCACTCCAAAGCTACCTCCCTCCCTCCCTCCCTCTCTCTCTCTGGAGTAGAGAGAGAGCAGTCCGAATCTCTCTCTGTCTCTCTCTCACACACACATAAACACACACACATACACACAAACACAAGAGAAAGAAAAACAAAAAGATCTACCTCGAGGGAATAGGTCTCTCTCAAGGCGGGACCCTTTTCTAAACTTGTTGGGATGCAAATCTAGTAAGTGTAAACATTAAAGGTATTTTTACTGTATGCTGTAAGTTCTAAACGTCGAAGCTATTCTAAGTCTAGGTTGGAATATGTTTAGCGATGCAGATTGATTTAGCGATGCAGATTGACACATGTTTCGTAGGCACTCGTCTCACCAATAATGTTTCCAAAATGCATTTGTAAAATTTTTGGGATCAGTTTGCAAAGTTTGAATCTCTAGGTAACAACAAGCTGAACCTAGGAATGAAATCAACTCTCACGGCACTTCTCCCCAAAGTGGAAAGAGCAGACATCAAGCTCTCTGGCCTATCAGTCTTGAGGCAGTGTACCCCCAAAGTTTTAGTTAGGATGTTACTTACCACATCATGGCTCACTCTTGAGGCCATTATTTACCCACTGCAAGGTGCATTTATAAGAAGAAAGAAATTTTCGATAAACATAGGTTGCAAGAGAATGCATTAAATCCATAGAGTAAGATGGAAGACTGGGATTCTTTGTAAAGGTCAACTTGGAGACAGCCTTTGACCATGCTGAACTGGATCTGACTCAAATGGCTGTGCACTATGGTCCTTTTTAACCAGATGAGGGTCTTGGCTCACTGAGTGCATCTGCACAGTAACATGCCCTTATTTACAATCAACAGGGAATTCTTCAAAATTTAAAGAGGGTTCCGGTAAGGTGAGCCCCTAGACATGTTCCTCCACCTTGATCTGTGAATCTCGGTAGGATGATAGACAGGGGCCCTGAGACGGGGCTAGTGGCAATCTTTAAGCTATCCATGGAAGTGAGGTTCCTACCAACCTTCAAATTGTTGACAATGCCCCTTAGTTTTACTACGTCTGTTGGAGCAAGTAGAGAAACTTCATACGGTGGCATGTCTGAATTGCCACAGGTCGGAAAGTAAATGCCAACAAAAGCTGGATTATGGGGATCAATTCTAGGCTGATCTCATGATGGCCGTGGAAAAGACATTGGGGTGAAAACTGGAGGGCATCACTAGGAACTCAGAATATTTCTATTTAGGAGGATAAAGAAGGAGGCTACAAAGAGTTTAGACAAGCTAATATATACAGTCAAACAGTTTGACTTTTCCCTTTTTGGGGACATCTAGAAGACTAATGATAAAATATTTATACAGTTATCCATCCCTAGTAATGAAATCAGTGAGAGAATTAACTCTTAGATGTCTTGGAAGCCTCTGCAAGAGTTTAGACAATTCAGAGCTTGAGACCATTGTTAAGATTGGAAGACAATATGGCGACTCCTAGAGAGTGAAGCAGGGACTTGCTGGTGCTCAGGAAGTCCTCTCCTATTGTGTAAATAAAAAAGAAGGTGCTCGCATAGACTTGCTAGAGATTGGGAAGTCCATTCGTATTGTGTGAGTTTTTTTCTTTCTATTTTTTTGCATTTTGTTCCCTTTCCATTCTGTAGAGACGTTCACATGGTTCACTTGATCAAATAGATGTCAGATATAAAACTAAATAAATGACTGGAAGACTATGCTTTAAGGCTGCGACTGTAAAAACCAGTCTTGGCACCATAATTCTGAAAATCCATCATCTCCACCTCAATGAACATGGATCTGAAAAAAAGCGTTTGCAAGCCCATAAAGTGGTCTATCTTACAACACTTTTTTTAGACCACACATTTCAACTCTTCATAAATAGCTAGTTTGCACCATTATGGAAGCTCCAAATTCTACAGCCACAGGCAAAAATGGATTTGTAGGTCATCACATTGTTTCTCACAGGGTATCTGAGCTTTCCAGCAGGGTTTTGAGGCTCAGCGGTATGAAGCCGATGTACCTTATCCTAAATTATTTTCCAGTACACATGCATAATAAAGTATGACAAAATATAAACTAATAACTACAATGGCTGCATTTTACACATTACCACATGATTTCACGATCACTTTTAATGCACTTCATTCAATTTCAAGAGCCTAACCTTTCTTCCTGGGTTAATCTTATTGTAAACTTCTTTGATGAAAGTGGTAATTTTCCAGCAATATTTTTTTTTTAACATCATAGACAGGCTAACAATTGCTCAGTTCCTTATCTCCATGAATTTCTCTGAGTTCAGAGATAACTGCATGATTAGTGTGCCTTGATGGTACTTGGGAGAAATGGTTACCTGGAAGCAAACACAACTATAAGCATGTGCAATGACATTAAAAAATGCAAACTATTAGTGATGTGTTTGTAAATTCCTGACATTCATTGTACACTTTCAAAAAATGGATCAGTAGGCTGGAGCCCCTACCCACTAATACCGATCCAAATTATCTGAATCGGTATCCAGATTGGCCGAATGGTATAGCGTATCATATATGCATTTTATATTATTCAGATAAGATGGCTAATTTGGCTAGGTTATCTGTTGAGGACAACATTTGGGAGGTTGCGTTATATTATTCAGATAAGATGGCTGATTTGGCTAGATTCTCTGTTGAACACAACATTTGGAGGTCGTACCCTACAAATGCATTTGTGTTTATATCAGCCATTTTCTCTGGGCATGACAGACTTATGCATTGAAACAAAATACATCAACCATTTTCTGTTCACAATGGATAGTTGATGTGCATTCTGAAGAGTAGGGCAATTGCTACCATCATACACTTCTCCATATGTGCGTGTATGTACCTAAGCCTCTCGTTTGTATGTTATAGAAATATTTTGATATGCTGAATGATTAAATCTAGCACCACAACATTCAAAAGCACTAGGCAATCGGGAGCCCTCTCAAGTCGCCCTTACACATTTTCCCGGTTGGACAATCGGATCGTCAGCTCATCAGAGAAAAGGATGACCACCTAGGACAAGTCAACTAGGAACGTTCTCAAAAAAGCTAAAACCTACAAGGCAATAACTTACTTTGATTACGAAGATTAAGGAAAAAAAGTAAATTAATATAAGTATATAATCTATTAGCTTCCCCCACATCTGCCATCTACAACCTCAATACAGTTTAAAATGCTCCAAACTTTAAAAAGTTTAAAGTAAGCTCACATTACATAAAGGAGAGTTGGGATCTTCAAAAGTGAGGACAAAAGAAATATCATAAGAGAAGGATAACAAGGCTTTCAGGAAAGATAGAAACTGAAAAATGTATGGATGTGGACAAAGTCTCCTTCAAAATCTAAGCTCAGGTGCCAAGGCAGCCCAACAATATCCCAGATTAAAGTGACGCTCAGGCACCAAGTCAGCCTCGGGATCAACCATTGCAAATGAGATGCTGTTAAACCTAAATACTTACACATTATTTGTAACAAACTAGTCGCAATTAGATTCCCCCATATTAACACATTACGAGTTAAACAAATCATTTGATGTTTCTCATAGACGATACTCATAAATTAGATCTACAAGCCCAACATGCAATAAGTGACGCACATGCATCACAAAGCTTGAGAAAGAACCTAACTCACATTATAGTGGTAAACATCTTTTTGGGGCAACTCCAAATGGAAGAAATTTGCCTTCAACTTTATCAACCGACCAGCCTCTCCATACCCAGGCCTCCGAGGAAACGTGATGCCTTTGCTTGGGCAGTGAAGACCACTAGGAGATATAATGGCTTTACGAGCTTGGGAAAACACTTGCTGTTTCTTTCAAGTAGAGAGACTGTACAGGAGGTGCTTGCTCTTGTACATGAGGTGCGACCCCAGCAATAGGCAGAGAACTCAATCCTGAAGGAGAGCTGGTGGTGCTATAATTGGCGAAGCAACAATTGCTCTAGGACATGGCTGAATAACCTTGTGTAGGTTATAAACAGAAGGCCCCATAGAGGGCTGAATCGCTAGGTTCAGCTTGAGGACAGGAGGTCTGAATCGCTTGGTGCAGATCTGGGACGCGAGGTCCTCTGGAGGGCTGAATCGCTTGGTGCAGGTAGGGAACATCAGGCCTTTGAAGGTGCTGCATCACTTAGCATCAGTGTTTCAAAAGGCGCTAGGCGGCCAGGGGTCTAAGCCGCCCAGCACCTAGGTGAGCGCTCAGAACCGCTGCGGCCCAGTAAAAAGAAATTTTTTTTGGGGTTTTTCTCGCTCTAAAATAGGCTCTAATGGGTTTTAGGTTTCAAACAGTGTTTTAAAATGAAGGATGCGGCCTTGATGAGGTGGGGGGCCGATGCGACGATGTGGCTCGATGTGGTCTGGATGCGGGTGCATCGCGATGATGCGGTCAATAAATGTAAAAAAATTCAATTTTTTTTTTAAAAATAAGTTAATGCATAGAAAAAAATATGAAGATGATATATATGATAGTAGGTATTTTAGTTTAATGATTAACTTCAAAACTATTAGCTGTCGAAGATTCTGTATCTAGTTATCCACCCATATAAGTATTTCTACAAAGCAAGCATATCACACAATTTTTATCTTTGAGATTTTTTAGTTTAGCATATTTCTAAGGCGGATCCTTATTACTAGAAGATTGGGAAGAAGACATTGTCCCAAAAATATGTATAATATTAATACTGTATAAGAAGGAAAAAAAGTTTTACCGACTCTGTGAAGTACTGCTCGATTTCTTTACGACCTTTGAAACCCTCGATTTTTTTATCACAAACTCACCCTAACATCTCCAAATCAACAATCAAAGGCATCCAATGAACATCCAAGTATCAAACAACCGCCAAATCGAAGATTTCAATGAAAAAGAAAAATTCCGCCTATTTTTTTTTTTACCTCTATTTAATTAAAAAAAAGCCACAAAAGTGGCTGAAAATCTTCATTTAGGGCCCCTAATATCCCCCAAACAGTTTTCCTAACATTTGGATGGTCAAAAAGGCTATTTTGCTCCTCCCCGAGGGGCAAAACAAAAAATAAATTCGGCAGATACTGTTGCAGTGGGATGCGGTGCGAATGTGGCCTATGCAGGATGCGGCTACGATGAGGTCTGATGCGGCGCATATGTGGCCGCATCTGTCAAAAGCGCATATGCGCCTGTTTTTGAGGTGGATGCGAGCGCATCTTGCATGATGCGGCTGCATTTTAAAACACTGGTTTCAAATGAACCTAAAACCCCACAATTTTGCCCCTTTTGAATTAAAAAAATGACCAACTTGGGTGGCCGCCAGTCGGCCACTTAGCGGGTTCAAGCGGGCACCTAGGCAGGTTTGCTGGGTGGTCCGCTTTTTAAGCGACTGCTTGGCGCAGGTTGGGGAGACCATGCCTATTTGAAAATCTTGGTTCCCTAGCAGTAGAACCAATAGAGCTTGAGACCAATAGAGATGGGCCTCCAACGGTCGTGTTTCAGATGGACCTGAATGAGCACGTGGCACATGTACTAATTGTTGTGAATTGCTTATCTCAGTAACTTTTGGGGCTTCTGGTGGTGATTCCCCACTGTCCACTTTGGGTACCCTCCTTTGAGGCATCTTGAACAAAACCAAAGTTGATCAAATAGGCTAAAACTGCAACAGATGCAACACAAAGTATAATCACTATATGGAGTTAAAGATCTTTGTACTCATCCATCCTCTGTTCTTATGCGATGAATGTTCTTATACAACAGCAAAAACTCAATCCCCACTCACTGTCATTGATATTGGACATTGGATGCCCTTACTGTAATATGTACCAACACGGGCTGCATCTCATATACTTTTCCATAATCTAACAAACCTCCCCATAGAAAGCACTCACTAAACAACATTAAAAGGACTTCAGATATGAGAAATAAACGAAGAAACTACATTTCAGGTCATCAACTGAGATGGAGCAAAATTTACCGAATGATTCCAAGTGAATAGCTCATCTATCCACAACATAAAACACTTCATTTCTTGGTAAAGTAATCAAAGGATATTTGCTTCTTCTGAATTTCAAAACATAATGCAAATAGAACTATGTGCAGAATATGAAAATAATGGAAAACCAACCAATGCAGAAGCAAATTTTGGGCGATCGACAATCAAAATATCACATTAAGCAACAATGACAGCTAAGCTTGAGTCAGCAAGAAAAAAGAAACGATCAATTAAAAAAAGAAAAATATAAGAATCACACCCATATCCAAGTATGGAATTGGGAGTATCAGATGCAGAACAAAAGGCGCATGATCGAAACACCAAAATCAAGATTTAAAAGCCAAAATTCCGACAAATGAACCCAGAATACAAAACACCAATGCTTCTTCAACAAGTAACATGAACTAGCAGCAGTAATGAAGCAGACCCCAAATATGAATTTGCGTTATCAGGACCCGAAATCAAGAGTAAACAAGGCATATTCATCAACCTGTAAACTATAGTTAAACAGAAAAGCCCTGCAATACATTACATGAAGACGTTGCATAAACATTTTTCTAACCATACAGAAGAACGAGATCAAGAAACACAACCCCAGAGAGAATAAAGAAAGCCCTAGGTAAAAAAAAAAGTAAATTTTGCATTACCAGAACTGCAAATAATGGTAGTTAAAAGGAAACTAAACTTTTCAGAACCAGAAGAAACTGAAAGAAAACCCAAAACAACCTCAAGAAACAGGAAATGAGAAATCCCCGATCACCATTAACTGGAAAAAGTTTCGTTTTCCCACTGCATATAAAAAGACAGTTGCTTGGCTCCCAAACAAGTAGCTTACTGTTTCAGTTTGGACTTCGAAGTTTATCTTGTTTGCTCTTTTGAGTAAGGAAAAAGCTTATATGCGGTTCCCCGGAAAAAGTTGTTTTAATGTTGCAAAATCCTTTCGTTGATCGTCTTGACATCGACATCGACATGCATGATTATGCAAAATAAATAAATTTTGTGTCATGCATCTTACCACATATTATTTAGACCCTCTATTTTTAATATTTTTATATATTTATAAATCTATTTGATTTTAAATATTTTAAAAATTTAAAACTTTATAATTAAATATAATAATAGATTTTTAAATAACTCTAAAATATTTTACATCAAAATTATATATTATAAAAAAATTGAAAGTACACTTTAATTGGATTGTTTAAAATTGCAACTTTATAGGAAACCGTGACCTTCGAATAAAGGTACCCCACTCTCTCGTTGCTTTTTGTTTTGTGCAAATGTAGTATCCAGTGTGCGAATGGGTTGGTTCGTCGTAGCAACACCGACTGTACTTTAGCTAAGGTCTAGGCTCACTTGACTCATTCAAAAAACCACTAATATTTTAAAAAATGGGTAAAAGCTCGTCATCTCATTGAATTACTTAAAAAAACAAAAACAATTGTAGCTTCCGGTGTTAACCAAACTAGGCCAGTCTAATTGGAACCAAAAACCGGACATGGGCCCATCTCCTTGGGCAGTATTGGTGGTTGGGCTGGGTATTTTAAAAAAAAATTCAAGAGACTTTATATAAAATCTCAAAAACTACGGGATTGATTTGTATTGCGTTTTTGAATTTTTTTTTTATCATTTTGGCAATGGAAAGTGTTTTGGGCATGAGTACTCTCTTTTGGCTGCTTGCCATTACAATTTCAGTTTTTATTGAGAGGCTACAAAACTTCTTAGACCCACCTCACATTTATTGGCTCCTAAGGCATGGACCCACCTTATTTTCCAATTGATTTTTATTTTATTTTTGTAATTTCACGATGGCCACTTTTTTATGATTCTACTCCCGGCGGCATTAAACCTTTGACAAAAATATAATTGGATCCCCTGTTTACCTTTTTTCTCTCATTAAAAATTGCAATTACTAATTTCCTTATACTAAAGAGTAAAAAGCTCCAAATTAGGAAAGGGGTGGGGTCGTGGCGGAATCATCCTTACATCTAGTTATCGTATTCATTTTTACTGTTGTACTTTTCAATTAATACCTTCAAAATATAACTCTCAATCTATTAAACTCCCGATCTATTAAAAAAATCGGCAGGAGCTTGTCTTTTCCACTGAATTACCCAAAATATATATATATACCAATTTTATTATTACAGCCTAGGAGTTTTGCTTTGCATCGACTAGGTGAATTTGTTGGGACAAAAATGACCCTCCCAATCTACAAATAAAAATTACTTTGATGCCTTTATTCTCGTTTTCTGTTTTATGAACCAAGGTGGGTTCAAAACTGACCATTGGAAGAAAAAAAAAAAAAGAGAAAGAAGATTTAAACTAATTACCAGGCTTCTTATTATGAGGGGCATTTTTATCCTAAATATTCCAAAAATTCATCCAAGAGGGTAAATGCAAAAGAAAATAATAATGACGTATAGGGTGTAATTGTTTTTGTAAAAAAATGTATGGGGTGTAATAGAAACGCTAGGGGGGTTAATGAGTTAAGAAATTCTAATGTTGGGGTTAAATTTCGAAGAAGTGAGCGTTAGAGAGAGAGAGAAACAAAGCAAAGGAACCTTTTGGTGAATCAATTTACGATATATATATTTGTTTAGACCAAACTAACCATATTGGAATATATAATGGCGACATACGACAATAGAGATACAAATAAAATTGCAGCCTTGTTAGGTCCATTTGGAATGGCTCAAGCCACAAAATTGATAGCTGGTAAACTAGACTTGAAAAAAAACGTTTGCTCAATCGAATTCAAAATCAATGTAATAATGCAACTATTCATAACAAGCCAATCATCATGTATGTTCTCATACGTCGGTCCCGGTACAGATCCATTGATATAGGCCCGTAAATTTCTTTCCATAAAAAAGTATCACATCTAGAAAGACCACACAAACCATAATTCTTCCCATCAAGAAGCAAAAAGATAACACGTTGTGTGCTGTTTTTGGACTCCATGGAAAAAGATGGATGTTCACTGTTTAAGGTATTTAACAAGGTGAAAAGAAGAAAAGTAAGGTTGGAGAACAAAAGAAAATTAAGAAAAAAATAGGAAAAATTACAAAAAAACTCTCAAGACTACACTTTCTATACAATTTACTAACTTTTTCTCCCACCTTTTTTTTCGAAATACTCTTTGTTTGCAAATACGCCCAACCAAAAAAAAAAAAAATTGTCTAAATTACCCTTCCTTACTTTTACCTTACCCAAACCTCTCTCTCCTCTATCTCACCAAAATAAGGGATCTAGTAATGTGTAAGTACGATTTGGCAGTAAAGCACTAACATTGTATAGAATGTGGTCCGGCATTAGGGCTTCGATACTGTGTAGAGTGCAATCTGGCAGTAAAGCACTAACATTGTATAGAATGTGGTCCGGCATTAGGGCTTCGATACTGTGTAGAGTGCAATCTGGCAGTAGCGTTCCGATATTGTGTAAGTGTGGTCCGACAGTTGCAAAGGGTAG